GTTTACTTTTGTGTTGATTACGGTGAAGGGGCAAGAGGTTGAAGGAAGGAAGACTAACAACATGCACAATTCACCGAGAAAATTTGATTTCTCTTATTATTAATCAAGAATTTCATATGGAGCTAAAACGACCCTCTGAAAGTGCAAATACTAATTTGTTTATAATTAATTTATTGAAGGTATAGCATCATCATTGGTTGTAAGCGCAATATCTGCGAGATCTGGATACATTTTTGAACGGCGAGTATTTTTTTTTTTAATGTTTATTTCATTTAATTTATTTAAAAAAAAATTTACAAAAATTTAAGACATTCTAGGTATATTTTATTAGCTTATTAATCAAATATTTGCATAATTATTTTCGCTTCATTCAATTTAAAATCTTCCAATTTATTTTAATAACTTGTTTTCTAAAAAAATATTATTAAAATATATAAAAAAGGATTTTGAAATTGAGAGTTGAAATAATTAAGCTAATTATTTTAGCAAAAAAAAAAAAAAGAAAAAAAAATCTAATTCTCCTCTTTAATTTATTTTTAAATAATTTATTTTAGCAAAAGAACATATATCTATGTTTATAAGATTTTGAGCAAACGAATAATAAGTCCCAGTGGAACGCAATATCAAGAACCGCCAGCAAAATTCTCACACTGTGTCGTCCGTGGCGCTTCCTGAGTATCTCGCACCCTGTCTGTGGTAAGTTCTCGACCTAGATCTCAAGATTTTTGCCCAATTTTTGGTGCATGTTTCCAAGTTATGGATCTTACGCATGTGTTTCTCTATAATTGATTATAATTTTTCATTTCATCGCTGCTTGTGGAAATTGAATTGAGTCGGATTTCGTCCTTTCCGAGCTTGTTCTTAAGATTGTTTTTGTTCGTTATTTGAGAAAGATTTGCGTAGAATCTCTTTTGTTTCTTCCATGCAACCTCTAAATAACTCAGATCTTATGCGTTCTCTAATTAATTTCGCTGATTTTCAGTTTAGAAGGTGTAGCTAGAAATGTCTTTTCCTCTTTATAGATCTCGCTGCTCTCTTGTTTTTGTTTTATGATTTAAATTGCTGTCATTTTTTTTCTTCTTCTAGCGAATGGTTCTTTTAAGTTAGAGATTGCCGCATTTCTTTCAGTTTCCAATGGCCTCTTCCAGTTCGAGGAAGCCCTCAATCTGTTGGGGTTTCCTCGTGTTTCTGGTACTTCTTGCCTATCGTTGCGATGCCTTCTATCTTCCCGGAAGCTACATGAAAGTTTACTCCCCTGGGGATCCTATATTTGCTAAGGTTAATTCCTTGACTTCCATTGAAACCGAGCTTCCCTTCAATTATTATAGTCTCCCCTACTGCAAACCACCGGATGGTGTCAAGAAAAGTGCAGAGAATCTTGGGGAGCTGCTTATGGGTGATCAGATCGATAACTCTCCTTATCGTTTTCGCATGAATGTAAATGAAACAGTCTACCTTTGTACCACCCAGCCTTTGAGTGAGGTTCAAGTGAAGCTTTTGAAACAGAGAACCCGTGATCTCTATCAGGTAAACATGATACTGGATAATTTACCAGCCATGAGATTTACCCAACAAAATGGGGTTAAAATCCAGTGGACTGGGTTTCCAGTCGGGTATACACCATCAAACAGTGAGGATGATTATATCATTAATCACCTAAAGTTCACAGTCTTAGTTCATGAGTACGAGGGGAGTGGTGTGGAAATAATTGGCACTGGGGAAGAAGGTATGGGTGTGATTTCGCGAACTGAGCAGAAGAAGTCTTCTGGATTCGAGATTGTTGGATTTCAGGGTGCACCTTGTAGTGTTAAACATAAATTTGATCCTGAAACTATGAAAAAGTATAAAATGTTTGAGAATATCACACATATAGACTGTCCGACAGAACTTGATAAGTCCCAGATTATCAGGGAGAAAGAGCAAGTATCATTCACTTATGAGGTGCAGTTTGTCAAAAGTGAAATACGGTGGCCGTCGAGATGGGATGCGTATTTGAGAATGGAGGGTTCCAAAGTACACTGGTTCTCTATTTTAAATTCTCTAATGGTAATCTTCTTCTTAGCTAGTATAGTTTTTGTCATATTCTTAAGGACTGTGAGAAGAGATTTGACAAGGTATGAGGAGTTGGATAAAGAATCTCAAGCGCAGATGAATGAGGAGCTCTCAGGATGGAAACTTGTGGTGGGAGATGTGTTCAGGGAACCTGATTGTTCGAAGCTCCTCTGTGTTATGGTTGGTGATGGCGTTCAAATCTTGGGGATGGCAGTTGTTACTGTTGTTTGTACAGCCTTTGGATTCATGTCACCAGCTTCAAGAGGAATGCTACTGACAGGGATGATTATTCTTTATAAAGCTTGGGATTATTGCGGGTTATGTCGGTGTACGTGTATGGAGAACCATTAAAGGAACGTCGGAAGGGTGGCGGTCGGTTTCCTGGTCAGTTGCTTGCTTCTTTCCTGGGATTGTCTTCGTCATTCTTACAATACTGAACTTCATACTTTGGAGCAGCAAGAGTACGGGTGCCATTCCCATCTCACTATATTTCGAACTCTTGGCTCTCTGGTTTTGCATATCTGTGCCACTCACCCTGCTGGGAGGGTTCTTTGGCACACGAGCAGTGGAAATTCAATTTCCTGCAAGAACCAACCAAATTCCGAGGGAAATTCCTGCACAAAAGTACCCATCTTGGCTTCTCATTCTTGGAGCTGGGACCCTTCCCTTTGGAACCCTTTTCATCGAACTCTTCTTTATCCTTTCTAGTATCTGGCTTGGGAGGTTCTATTATGTTTTTGGCTTCCTACTGATAGTCTTGTCTTTGCTGGTTATTGTGTGTGCTGAGGTATCACTCGTCCTTACCTACATGCATCTGTGTGTGGAAGATTGGCGGTGGTGGTGGAAGGCTTTCTTTGCTTCTGGTTCCGTTGCTCTTTACGTGTTCTTATATTCCATCCACTACTTAGTCTTTGAGCTGCAGAGTTTGAGCGGCCCAGTATCAGCTATTCTTTATCTTGGTTATTCATTGATCATGGCAACGGCAATCATGTTGTCAACGTGCACCATCGGCTTCTTGACCTCCTCCTACTTTGTTCACTACCTATTTTCATCAGTAAAGATAGATTAGAAATAGCCAACACCGCCCTTGAACGCGCAGGCCGTGGATGATTTCGGTAACGTTTTGGCTCTTTGGTAAGTCGCCCGGTACTTCTTTTTTCATCTTAGCAAGTTTCTTAGGCAAATGGTCTTCAGAGCTGTGATGTTATATATGGAGTGAAGTGGAGCGAAGTCCAAAAGGAAATAGCCTTGGTTTCTTAATGCCGTTGATCTAGTTTTGATTGAGCGCTTTTATCCAATCAATTTCAAAATTGTTTGGTGAATCTTGAAAGGTACCATTGTTTCAGCCTTCCATTATTGTATACCATTTCATTGTATCGATAAGGGCGTTTGAAATTAATGGGACGGGAATGAACTGTTCACTCCATAACGAAACAATGGTTTCTAAACAATTTAGAAATTGAGTTGGGATGAACGTTAGAAGCATTTGAAAGTAAGTTAGACACGAGCACTCGAAGGTAAGTGAGATTAGTTCCCTTTAAACGTGATTTCGTTTGGGTTCGTAAATTTACCAATTGTGAGGGTATCATTTGTTTTGTATTGAAATTAAACCATTATAAGAATATTTTGAAACAAACCATTAAGAACTTGGTACATCAAGAATCTAATATATAGTATATCAAATATGCTTTTGACATATCTATATGATAAATCTTAATAATAAAAAATGAAAAAAAAAAATTAGATTTTGCCAATTTTATTTCACTAAACTAAGATAATATTTACAAAAAAGTGGATGGAGAAAAGAGAAGTGTTTTTTTTTTTTTTTTTAATTTTTATTTTTATAATATAATATATGTATGAATTTTATGGTGAGGAGTGTAGTATTGGTCAAATTTAATTTAAGCTTAATTTAATTTAAGCTTACTAATTTCCTTAAAAGACACGCTACGTATCACAATCACGGTTTTTAGGCAGCAAATTTGATGATTGTACGGCACCCACTCTCGGCACTAAGTAGGTCAAGCCTACTTCGAGTTAAGTTAGCTGCGGTCGGAGCAACGTGAATACAAACCTCGGGTCTCGATTGCGATTTTTAGGCAGCAGATTTGATGATTGTACGGCACCCACTCTCGGCACTGAGTGGGTCAAGCCTACTTCGAGTTAAGTTACCTACGGTCGGGACAACGTGAATACAAACCTCGAGTCTCGATTTCAAGAGAAGATTTTAGAAAGTGGGGAAAAGAGGTTTTGAAAAGAGAGTTTTGAAGGCAAGAGAGAGAATTTGAAATTGCCATCATATAGGATATGGGAATGTACGCAAAAAGGCAACAGCAAGTGCTTACAACTGCTTACTGCATATAACTAAGAAGTTGACAATTAGTCATATCCCCCACAATACATTTTGAGGCATTTTATGTCTACCAGGCGTAGCTATGACATCGCTGAAACTTCATACTCTTAAAGAAAACAAGAAACAAGAAAGAAATAATACAACATGAAAGCGGTAAAAGAAAGCAATAAATTAGTACAAGGCAAAGGTTCCGGCATGTCGGACAAGCTTGACTGTGACACTACGCTTCCCATTTGCATAACTCACATCAATTTCAACTAAAAACAATTATATATTTTTTTTTTATAATAGTTTTACTCTTTTTTTTTTTTTAAATTTTTAATTATTTTGCATTTATAATTAAATTTAAAAAACAAAAAACAATTTTTAGAATTTATAAATTAAAATTTAAAAAACTAAAAACTAAATAAGAAATGGTAATTAAACTACCCTTCAAAAATAAAAATAAAGGACCGAAAGAATTAAATATAGATCGAGAAAATGTTTCTTCTTTTTTGGTTTTCGTAATATTATTAATAATATTATTATTTAAAATAAATAAATAAATAAGAGCGCCAGAAACTAGCCGTTAACAAACGTAGACCCACTGGAGCTAATGCGCTGTCGCGCTCCTTCTTCTTCCTCTTCCTCTTCTTCTTCTTCTTCGTCTTCGTTGTATTTGATTCTGTCCTGTACTTCAACTCTTTCTAGCTTCTTCCTTGTGCTCCTTCAACGTCTCTCTTCTATACCAGAAGCCCCTTCCCGTTCGAACATTTATCATTGGCCACGATGTTCACAGATGGCCTTGATGAAACTGCAATTGACTGGATAAAAAAGGTACTCTCGATTCTGATGCAATTCCTAGCGTTTTTGTTTGTTTTTATTCGATTCAGTTTGCAATCCGTGCTTCTTTCTCCACAGGGGAGGGATAAACCGGTGGAAGATGAAGCTCGAATTCGATCTCCTCTTGCTGAGAGAACCGGCGCCGATCTATTTCCAAAATCTCCTTTGGCGTTTAATGGCAGTGGATTCATGTCTTCTCACGTTTTGCCTCCTTTGAAATTCCGTTCTGGATTGCTTACTCCTCATAGTTTGGCTTCTCCTTGCCTGGATGACGACGACGACGATGATGGAGATTATGATGTTAATGAAAGTATTGCTTCGGTTCCGTTTGAAGATGGTGGAGCTTATTCTGATGATGATGGTATGCGATTTCATGATTCGGATTTCTTGGAGAAGCCAGTTGTTGAGGGTTTTGATGAAGATGCATTTGGCTACCATTCTAGCGTATATTCCGGTGAGATTAAAGTGCCTGGAATCTCAAATATATCTTCTATCAATAGAGGGAATTTGAAGGAAGGTCTCAGGATTGAGGTGCCTGTTAATTTAAGAAAATTTCCCGGTGGAAAGTTGGGTGCAAGGAATTTCCCCCAAAAATTTTCCACTCCCAATCATGGAAGTCGGCGCAAGAATCAAGTCCACTTTCACAGCGCTCGTGTAAGACCTTCAAATCCCTAATATTTCTCTTTATATGTTGCGGAGTATCTCTTTTGTCCTTTTGAAAGCTGAACTGAGTTGATCGTTGCAGGGTCCTCAAGTCCACAGAAGTGTTTTTGAGGATTTGGCAGGAACCCCCAGTGCACCTCCCATTGCTGCTGATGTTGGAAGTGGTGAAGCGACAAGCACCGAGTGTGAAAGTCAGACCAGACGAGATTCTGAAGATTCAAGTGAAATTGATCAAACTGCCAATGGATGCCCATTGCGAGCACATGAGGGTCTTGATGGATGTAAAGACGTTTTGACAGATTGGAAACCTTGTTCTCCAGCAAACACCCAAAATTTTGGAAGGTTTGGTGGTTTTTAGTGGACTACTTTCATCTGAAAGAACCTTTAAATTTGTTCTTTTAATTTTCTCAGTTATATTCTTTTGTTAACAGAACTTCAACAGGAGCTAAAGATTCTCATATCTCTCAAGTGCAAGCAAACTATCCAGATTCTTCATCCGGTTACAGCACAAGGTATTATTGAATTCTACTCCTCTTGAGCCTGGATTCAAGTAGCTATTTTATTAGTTGTTTCTATCATTTGCTTCAAGGTACTTTTGGTTATTACTGATCTTAACATTCTTGCCCATTTCGGGTTTCATAATTGCAGTGGTCAGCATGCCTGGCAAACGCTACTTGCATATGATGCTTGTATTCGGTTATGCCTACAAGCATGGGAAAGAGGCTGCACAGACTCACCTGAATTTTTACGCAATGGGTGCCTGATTCTTCGAAATGCTTTTGGGTACCGATCCCCTTTCTTGTGCATTTTGACTAAGTATTGCTCAATTTGAAAGCTATTGATACCATTTATTGGACCTCTTATGGGTTCTCTCTATGAATTGACTACTATGTAGGCTACACAAATTTTTATTGCAACCTCGGCTGGCACAACCAACAGAAAGGGGGAGGAACACCGAGCATTCAGAACAAGTAGTTACTTCGAACCCGAAGCAAGTTGTTGGAAAGATAAGAGTGGAAGGTACAAGATTCTTCAGAAGATTTCACCACCATTTTAAACAATATATTTGGTTTGATTCCCTGTCCAAAGACTCCTATAGGGCTACTTGGTTATGTGTTGTCAAACTTTCTATTAAATTGAACGACTTGGTTCCTTTTGAGAGCTCTGCTTTCTATGTTCCAATTTAGTGAACAACCAATTCTGTGCTGGTTCTCTCTCTAGTCTTAGAAATCGAAGCAACTTTTCTCCTTTCCAATATTTTGTTGGTGTATTGATTGGCCAAGATTTTTTGTTTTGATACTGGCAGTGAAAAAGCTTAGATTGATACCAAAGAGGAAACTGATGAATACATATTCGCAAAAAAGCTCAATCTATATGCGAGCTGGGGCAGAGTATATCCGAAATATCTCAACTTTCGTGAAAAATGGCATAAATTCTCTAAAAGAGGCTTCGTTCTCAACTACTTCAGAAGGTTTGTAGTTAGTACCAAATTTGTTCGTTTTTTTGCTTTCTTCAACTGTGACACACGATTGATCTTTCACCAAGTTGGAAAATGATGGGTCCTATTTATTATTTGCGCCAATTTATTGTCTGAATTTTGTACGTTAATTGGGTGAGACAGTCCAAATACTTCCAAAAGATAAGTATGGGCATAGATGACATGCAGGAAAAAACAGGAATAAGTGTTTTTCTATAATTTCCAGTTCAGTAGTGGAAAGTGATTTACTTTTTGTATGTTTCGCAGAACAATCGTGCTTATTTCAGTTGAAGAGTGCTGCAGAAGTCTCTGATGTGGAGTGTGCTTCTGCTGTTTGCTTGCACCCTAGCAGTGGAGACTACCATGTCTTGTAAGTTCTGTTAATTTTTACTCATACTTGGTTTACCAGCTTAACTTGCTAAGAAAGAGCTCACATATGAACCACTGCTCTCAGGACATTATTTCTTTTTCTGAATTAATATTACACCAATCCCCTTTAGCAGAAGATTCTGCTTTTTCTAGTAGATCTATGTTATTAACTCACGATCATATGTTTTTGTGACTTCAGTTTCCCTGAGGCTCCAGGAGATACTCTATTGCTAGAAATCCAGGATGTTAAAAAAGTTACCCAAGGTCGAACTATGATTGCAGTTTCATCCTTGATCGATAACACAGTAAGTAATATGTTTCAGTTACAATTTTTTGCACTTGATCAATCAATAGTAATAAGAAATGAACTGACTTCACCCATTATGTGCAGAATGATAGAATTCGGTGGTGGCCCATATACCATGATGACCAGGAATGTGTTGGAAAAATTCAGCTTTCTATTGTTCACACATTGACAAGTGACGAGACTAATCATATGAAGGTAATTTTTTCCCCTCACAAGTACTAACGTTTTAAGCTTTTATTTGGAAGCAAATTAATGGGCATATCCTTACATAATGGGATTTTCTTTTGGTTCAAAAAGATGGATGGATTGTGGGTTTGACTGTTCCTTTTGTTTTCAAATGATACAGAGTGGACCTTTAGTTGAAACTCTTGCCTATGATTTAGTGCTAGAGGCTGCAATGCGTGCACAGCACTTCTGTTCCACAAATCTTAGGATAGATGGACTTTGGAAGTGGCTGTTGACTGAATTTGCAGACTACTACGGAGTTTCTAGCTCATACACAAGGATCAGGTATTAAACGTATGTCATTATGGATATGTAGAGTAGCAATTTAAGAAGATCAATCATTCATATTCTTGCAGACCTATCAATTTTGCTTTATTTTGACTTGCTTTAGTTCTTCCCAATACGCAGATATCTTTCTCATGTCATGAATGTGGCAACTCCAACCAAAGATTGCTTAGAGCTCGTAAATGAATTACTTGAACCCATAATGAAGGCCAAAAGCGAGAAAAGTTTGACTCGGCAAGAGGTATGTTTATCTAGTTGACCCTAACCAAATAAGAGTAATCACGATGGCAAGGATCTCTTGAAAATGAGGGTTTTTATTTATCAAAAGCTTAGTTCTGATTGCACATTTGGCTCATAGGAAACTAAGTCTGGGTTTGTATAGTGTGAACTTGTATGGATTTGTGTAGCTTGTGATTGAAAATTTGTATCTGTGTTTGTAATTTGTAAACGTGTGTAACATGAAACTGGTAAAAACGTGGCTTCAGTGAGATAAATTCTCACCTATTCAGCATAGATTGGCTTTACGATCTCATATTATACAAACGCAGCCGTTTGCATTTTCTTGCCTCCAATATGGCATATTCCTTATTCTTTTGAGGAATGACCATTAAAAACTATCCGCGGGTACAATGATGTATCTTTGGTTCTAATTAGTACATTCTCTTTGCAGAGAAGTATACTACTGGATTGTGAAACTCAAATTGAGAGTCTGTTGGCAAATGTTTTTGAGAACTACAAGTCATTGGATGAAAACTCCCCGACGGGATTGACAGATTTACTTGGTCCAATAAAAGACTCTGCAGCACCTGCTCTAACTCCTGCTGTGAAAATCTACACTCAGCTCCATGATATACTTTCTCGAGATGCCCAGAATATGCTAAGGAACTATTTTCAGGTGAGCCACCATCCGTTTTTGTACTCACATATAACTATATAATAACTTCATGCTATTGTGGAAACATTGCAAAATTCCCTGCTTTGATTCTTCTGATTACATGAATAAGCTAAACATTTCACTCCTATTATGATTGCAGAGAGGGGCAAAAAAGCGGTGTCGAAAGTACATGGTTGAGACTGATGAGTTTGTCTCGGGAAACTCTGAAGGTGTTCTCATTGATCCAATTACCATATCCACCGCATATTTGAAGATTAAACAGCTATGTAAACATATAGGTGATGAAATACAGGCTGATATCAAAATTCATAATCAGCATATACTACCCAGGTATGTTACATATGCGTTAATGAAACTGTTAGATCTTACGAAGTTTAACGAACTTTACAAGAATGCTTGTTACTATAATATGGGTTGTGCCTTGAATATACCGTGGCTCATGTTACCATTTTGTCGCAGTTCCATTGACCTGTCAAACATCACCGCCGCTGTTTACAGTACTGAGTTGTGCAACAGGCTTAGAGGATTCCTCTCAGCATGGCCTCCATCTGGTCCATTGCCTTACATAAATGAGCTTTTAGTAGCTACTGCTGATTTTGAAAGAAGCCTTGAATCATGGAACATCAGGTTTGTGTTAAAGATCATTTTACAGCTGAAAAGACGAGACGATTGTGTTGGATACTTCATTTTTTCCTGACATCACGGAATCCTTCAGTCCTGTGCAGGGTGGTGTAGACTCCAGAAATCTATTCCACAACTATATAATGGTGTGGGTACAGGATATGCAACTAACATTGCTGGATCTATGTAAAGCAGAAAAGGTACGCTCTCTCTCTCTCTCGGTATCTTTTTAGGAAGCAAAATTGCAAGCCTGCATAGAGAAATTCTCCGTGTTATATTAGTAGCTCATTCATCCTTCCTACAAAGTTACAGTTCAGCCTCTAAGCGAACTTTCTTGATTTGAACAATTGACACAGGTTCCATGGTCTGGTGTGTCAACAAATCATTCCAGCTCGCCCTTTGCCGAGGAGATGTATGAGAAAATAAGAGACTCCCTCGTTCAGTATGAAGTAGTGATCAATCGGTGGCCTCAGTATTCACTGATTCTAGAAAATGTAAGATTGATTATTGTTATCACATTAGAGACCACCATCATTCTACCATTTCATTTAATTGTAATTGCATATCATGCTCAAACTACCTTCTTTTTAACATAATGACTTGTTATACTCGTCAATGCCCGCGCGAACTTATAACGTTCTCAATTCCCTATACTTTTGCTGTACATACTCGATCACATTGATTGCGTTGGTGGTTCTATATAGGCTGTTGCAGATGTAGAGAGAGCAATATTAAAAGCACTTGAAAAACAATACAACGATATCTTGACACCTCTGAAAGATACCATCCCAAAGAGGCTGAACATGCATGTCCAGAAGCTAACAAGAAGACAATCAATGGCAATATACTCCGTTCCTAATCAAGTAAGCGTCCTCTTTTCCTTGTAGTGTACCACCTTTATCTGTGGTTATATTGATGCTCGTCCAAGCCTTGATGTCTACTTCTAGTCTCATATGTATGATGCATCGTACTTGTAGTTTTAACTTTTTTGAAAAAATATATATTTCCATGTGATTTTCACGTTTTGTTACCGTTTCTTGTGAACAGTTGGGAATGTTTCTCAATACCATCAAGAGAATTCTAGATGTCCTACATATTAGAGTTGAAGGTATCTTGAAGTCCTGGGCATCCTATATGCCTGTTGTGGGTGACAAGAAGTCACTGTTTGGAGAGCAAATGAACGGAATCACGGTTCTTTTGAGGACGAAGTACAAAAACTACTTACAGGCAACTGTAGGGAAGCTCATATGCAATGTAAGCTCTTATCACTTCATACTTTTCTCATGACAGAATTTATTTTGATTTTTTCAGTCATAAGTTTTTCTTCCAAACCATCTTGGTATTAGATCCAAGGATGAATCTAGTGAATAAAAATCTCCAATAACATAGCCTCATCATCTTCAATTCCACACACAATATAATTTTGAATTCATCATCAGATGCAAGGCAACCGTAATACACGGCTGAAAAGAATTTTGGAGGAAACGAGGGAAGAAGAAGGGGAGCATGAAGTTCGTGAAAGAATGCAAATGCTAAGTTCACAACTCACTGACTCTATATGGAACCTGCACGAGGTCTTCACAGGTCCTATATTTGTCGCAATGTGTCGGGGGCTCTGGGACAGGATGGGACAGGTAAACTTGAGTTTACAGACATGTATACAATTACATTTTAAGTGCTTAAAAAAGTGAAAAAAAAAAGTGTTTTTGTAAGGATTCAAACAGCTTCACATTGAAATTTCCTAACAGTTCACATCCCATTTAGGATATTCTAAGTTAATGCAACCACACTATTTTGAAACAGATTGTCTTGAAGTTTCTCGAAGGCAGGAAAGAAAACAGAGTATGGTACAATGGATCATATTACGCTCTTGGGGTATGTAAATTTCAATGCTGCCACCCACTCTACTCTTTATAGCAACAGAATATGCTACTCCCATGTCCTTTGTGCTGCTGCTGCATGTAAATAATTCATCATTATGATCTCACAATGATTCTATATTTTGTGTGCAGATTCTGGATGATACATTTGCTTCCCAAATGCAGCGATTACTAGGAAACGCAGTGCAAGAAAAAGATATTGATCCTCCTCGTTCAGTTGTTGAAGCTCGATCAATTCTGTGCAGGGACTCGGCAAATGCCACTGACACTGCAACTTATTTATATCTCTGATAGTTTCAACTGGTCTGCCTTCTTCAATTCATTTCAATTCATTCATCTCTGATAATCTCAACTGGTCTGCCTTCTTCAACAACTGGTCTGCTTCTTCAATTCAATTCATTCATCTCTGATAATCTCAACTGGTCTGCCTTCTTCAACAACTGGTCTGCTTCTTCAATTCAATTCATTCATCTCTGATAATCTCAACTGGTCTGCCTTCTTCAACAACTGGTCTGCTTCTTCAATTCATTCATCTCTGATAATCTCAACTGGTCTGCCTTCTTCAACAACTGGTCTGCTTCTTCAAATTCATTCATCTCTGATAATCTCAACTGGTCTGCCTTCTTCAACAACTGGTCTGCTTCTTCAATTCATTCATCTCTGATAATCTCAACTGGTCTGCCTTCTTCAACAACTGGTCTGCTTCTTCAATTCATTCATCTCTGATAATCTCAACTGGTCTGCCTTCTTCAACAACTGGTCTGCTTCTTCAATTCATTCATCTCTGATCTTCAACAACTGGTCTGCCTTCTTCAACAACTGGTCTGCTTCTTCAATTCATTCATCTCTGATAATCTCAACTGGTCTGCCTTCTTCAATTCATTCATCTCTGATAGTTTCAACTGGTCTGCTTCTTCAATTCATTCATCTCCGATAGTTTCAACTGGTCTGCTCTTCGATTCATTCATATACATACATAGCTTAGGTGTAATAATATTATTCTTATAGCTATTTACTATTTAGAAATTTTTTATTGTATTTATTCAATCTATTTCGAAAGGTATTGTTGTATTATTATTCAGAGGATCATTGTTCTTTTATTTTTTTAGATCATTACTGTTCAATTCTTTATATAAAGATCAATAAAAGCAGCTTCTTGATTTTCTTTTAGTTGAGAGTTCATTGCCAATGAAAACTCTGAAGTGTTTCTACCGTGGTTAAATTATTTTTATTATTATTTCACTTTTAACATCGTATTATTACTTTCTTTTTGCATATATTTGCTATTAATTCTATTTCGGTGGTTAAATTACAAGATATCCCTAAAATGAAACTAGTGTTTTATTTGTTTTTCCGACAAATTTACAATATTTTATAAAATTTTACCAATCTATTATTACATATAAATTTGAATTTGAATTTTTATGTTTTAAGGGATCTTTAAAATAAAAATTAAACTTTTGAAATTCGTGTTTAGTAAATTGGATTTGTAAATTAATAAAAATTAAAAAAATTCAAGAATTAAAATTATAATGTTGAAAATTTATGAGTTAAACAAACACAAAACTCAAAATTTAAACTAAATTTATAATTTAATCCTATTTAAACTAACATTATGATGTTTTTTTTTTTCTTTTGCATCGACGGAACATCATACATACAATCGGTCAGTAGAAGAAAATGAATGATTGGAATCTGACAGAAGGCTTGAAATAAATGACCAACGCAGTGAAGCTCTCCTCCCCAGGTGATAGTAACCAAGGAACAAGACAGACCAACAAATTTTCAAGACTGGGATTAAACAAAATAGCAACACCAACCATAAATGTCTGTTGTTTCTAATAGCATTAGAGCAGCAGCTGAGGGTTACTAACTAGATAATCAACATCTTATGAACAAATTTAGTGAAGAAAAAAAAAAGGCTTGTTACTCGGGATAGCAAATATTACTGCTGGCAAGTGGCTGATGATGCATGCTTTGGCATTCGTCAATACCCCCTTAGAATCTGTTGATTCCTTCACGGACCCATGATTGTAAGTTTCGCATGATCAAGCGGGACCTATCAACTTCCCTTTCCTTGTTGAATTTGCTGGAGAAGAGCAGCTGCCAGCTTAAGTGTAGCTTGCAGGCGTTTCTGCGGATCTGCTTCTGCTTCTGCCTCGCCACGAACATCGGAGTTTTGAACCTGTTGATCATTGCCTAAAGCCTCCATCTGAAGCTCCCTTTGTGCCATAAGTTGCCCTGCAGGCATGTTTGACATCTGGTGTTGTTGTACATGCTGCTGCATCTGTTGAACTTGAACAATTTGAGATGTCTGAGGCTCAGAGTTCATCAGATTAGTCTGGAAAGAGCCATTTTGGGACCTTCCCAATGGCACAACCGATTCGTTCCGATGCCTCAATTCTTCAGCCATGGTTGCATTTGGCATACTCCCCGGTTGCCTTTGATGCCCAAGCAGAGATGATGCTAATTGTGCCAGTTGGTCTGGCGGTAGGGAGGAAAGAGTTGTAGCCAAAGAGGCTGCCGGGTTTATTTCATGTTGAGTAGATAATAAAGCATTTCCAGATGTAACAGAAGAAATTCCAACGGTATAATTACTGGAGCCTGTTTCCTGAATTTCCCTTGGAATGATTAAATGACGTTCCTGAATAACAGGATCCATTGAATTGTTCAAAGCTTGTGATGGGGTATTTCGAGTATCGAACATCGAGTTTTGTAGATGGTGAGTCGGGTTCGGTCCATTGGCATTTTGCTGCTGTTGAATTGGATACTCATGCCTGTTCTCAATATATGGATCAGACAAACTTCCAACAGACTGCCCTGAGCCATGAAATAACACGGGCGACGCTGAAGCAGCGACATTCCTAGGTAATGATGTATGATTGATTCCTGCTTTACTGAGATAGGATAAAGATGATACTGGGGCAAAAACAGCTGGAGACGTCTGTAAGTTGGTATATAACGTTTCACTATGTAAAGGTAACAAGCTTGTGTCCTTCGTTTCGTTTTGATATGGAGGAGGCCTTGCGCTTGTACCAGCACGCTCTAACCTCAGAACAACTCCTGAAATGCTCAATTTACCTGGTACCTTGAGCACTTTTTCTGAAAACTCGGATGGCGGAACAAGAAACATGGTGGTTCTGTCATCCAACTTGGCAACTGCTGCTCGTTGCTTTTCACCAAGATAGTTCATGAATTCATTGTAGAATACGATGTCAGCATCGCTTTCAGGTACAAAGAAAACAACCCAAGCACTGGCTGCTTCATAGTAATGCTTTGAGAGCATGTCTAGACCAGTTTTTGCAGTACAATCTAAGAACTCTGGCCTGCAGAATACGAGTTCAGTTTCACAAGTGATCTATATGAGTCCTAGTATAACATTTTTAGAAGGCGAGAGAAAAAAATTTCCTTTCAATCATTTGCACACAATTTATGATGGGCAGTACTTAATTCCATTACACTTAAAAAGAGAGAACATGAACCTAATAGCAGCAAAATCCAATATGAATGCGTGAAGGATTGCTTACATATGTTACCGTGAAAGAATATATATTATCTCAAGGTAATTAAATCATTTAACGAAACCTTCACTAGTCATAGAGGCCAGAATAACAAAAATTTACAGTTTTCTACATGCTTCATCTCCCAACTCAAATAATATTCTTATTTTAAGTGAAAAGATACTCTCTAAAAACTGTCTCAAAGAATAATACCATAAACAACAGAAAGAAATTGGAATCTTCCATTTCCATGTCACTCGCAAAAATACCTTCCATGGAATACAAGATGGGATTATAACAGTTGGGATAAAATAAAGGGAAGAGGCGCATCAAGTTACTGGAAGAGGCTAAATGAGAGCAAATAAAATTAGCATTATAAATTTTTCAGCACTTGATTAAACATATTTTAATGGGAAAAAATTAGAAGAAATATCAAATACTTACAATAACATATCCAGAACCTCTCCCACAGGAAAGCAGCGAGCACGACAAACAGGTGTTCCTCCCTTTGCAATAGTTCCCTCCCATTTCCACTCTTTTATAGATGACCGTTCTGAATCAGGAGAGAACCTTTTCCTTGCAACAGCATTGGGTGGCAGAGACTCAGGAACCTGAAAATTATCATATGGTTCCCTCCAGTGTTCACTCTTTTCTTCATAAGGGACTGACTTTGTTATAGGCCGATCATACGGGACTGACATTGTTATAGGCCGATCATAAGGGACTGACATTGTTATAGGCCGATCAGGAGTCTGTTTATACCCCAGAGGTGGCCCAGACTTCATCGTATGATCAAATGTTTCTGAGGAGGAAAAATCAGTGTATGACTTTCGAATGATACGTTTATCTTGTTCCAAATCAGATAATGGGTACTCAGGGAGCTCTTTATCCTGGGGAAAGGATCCAATCTTCAATTTCTTGGACCCTTGATACAAGTTCGTATCCTCTGGTAAGTCCCATGGATCTTCATAAAATGGAGGTTGAGAAAATCTTTGAGGAAAGTTATTTAAATGAGGACCTCTCTCTTTTGTTGGACTACCATGTTCATATCTATCTTCGGATGGACCTAATTTTGATGAGAATTCTCCAGACCTCTTCATTTCAAACGCATTGTTCTCACTAGTCCATAAATTACTTTTCCTATTAAGACCACGGGAATCAAATTCTCCAGAATCAAAATTTGAGAAAAGGTGAGGAGATCTTGGAGAAAGAGGTGCATTCGATGAGCTCCTTCCACCGTTTGATGAACCAGAATCACTTCTTGCAAAACAAATGTGTACTCGGGGATTTCCAAATAGCTTCCCCTGTAGAGTCTCTTTAGCCCTCCAAGCTGATGACACAACCCGAAAACGAACAAAAGCATATGTTCGACCAGGGAATGTTGTAATCTTCTCAATTTCCCCAAACGGTGAAAAGGCCTTCCTTAATATCGTTTCATCCACTTTTATTAAAGCCGGAAATCCTATCCATAACACTTCACTGGGCTCTGTATTTTTATCGCTTATTTTGGACTTTTCAGGACTAGCATGTCGGTGTTGAGAATAGTCAGGACTAGCATGTCGTCCCTGAGAGAAGGAACCCTTCGCTCCATAAGATTTTTCCTCTCGGTGTTGAGAATAGTCTTCATCGCGTGATGATGCAGATGGCTTATCCTGAGAGCAAAATTATTATTAATGACACAACAGCCTATGACTGGATAAAATGCTCTGAATTTTAAATTTCGAAGTCTATAAGAGAAAGGAAAGAGCTAAGGATGACAAGAGGATGGATTTTTTGAAGAAGAGTAATAGGAAATAATAATAAGAAGAAGAAGAACTCTATACACCTTAGCCATTACACACTCAGACACTTGATTGCTTTGGTTGTCTACT